ATTTGATTTATAAGTGTGTATATCTATGAGAACGAGAGTAAAATACTTGTTCTGTGTTTGGTGAGAACACATAGATGAACTTTGTTGGTTTGCTTGAATATTTTATTTGTGTTTTGTTGTGTTTATTGTGATACAGGTTTCGCGATGGCCGATTCTGAAGAAAAACTATCGCAGGCGGAAGCGATACTTCCACAAGAGGAAGCGGACTCTGTAGAGCATGTGTCTAAGTTGTTTTCTCAAATGGGTGCTAGACCTAAAGGTGATAGTTTAGTTAAGTTAAGGAGTCAGATGATGGATTTCCTTAATTCAACAGGAGGATTGGACACTGCTAATCCGTCGATGGCTGGACAAGGGGTAAGTGGAAATGTTGTTTCTCAGGGTATTGGTTCTACCACAGGCACTCTGGACACGAGATTCTACAAGTTACCGTTATTTTCTGGAGATCAAGGAAAGGGTGAGGCTACTTTCGATTTATGGAAATACGAAGTGCAATGTCTGATTGACACAGGTAAGTCACAGGATGTCATTGGGCAGTCTATCCGAAGATCTCTGAAGGGAACTGCAGCCAGAGTAGCCATGCGGTTAGGAGCTAATGCGACACCCGCACAGTTGATCGCCAAACTTAGAAGTCTGTATGGTATAGTAGATGACCAGGAGACTCTGTTGGAGAATTTCTATGCCGCACATCAGCAACCCAAGGAAAATGTGACTGAGTGGGCTTGTAGACTGGAAGACTTGTTGCTTAGAGCCGATTCTGGTATAGGACCTGCGGAACGCAATAAGCGGTTGCACAACAAGTTTTGGTCTGGTCTGAGGCAAGACTTAAGAGATGTTACTGGCCACAAGCATGACTCCATTGCTGATTATGAAGAACTATGCATAGCAGTAAGATCTATAGAAAGGACAAGAGACAACGAGAAACCATCGAAGGCGACTGTTACTGTCAACTCAGCTGTTGAAGGGGAGGAGAAGGAGGATTTGAGGTCTGTGGTCAACCAATTGTCTGCTGCTATTCAGAGGTTAGAGAAGCAGATATCCGATGGTGGGACAACATCGTGGAAGAACAACAGAGATCACAGGAACAGGAATAGAGGAAACTCTAACAACTACGGAGGAGGGTCTGTTTACCACTCTAAGCCGTCGCAAGAGAAGACTGACCAGGATGAAGCGTCTTGGGACAGGAAACCTGATATCATATGTTGGAGGTGCAGACAGCCGGGACATATCAGAGCGCGATGCAA